CCGGGTGGGTGGGAGACCGGCGGCGCGCGCCTGCGCAGTGGCGAGGGCGCGGGTGTGACCGAGCGCACGTAGCGAGGGCTGCGGCCGTCCCTTCTCCTGCGCGCCGGCGCAGGCCTGGGGCTTATAAAAGGGCTGACGGGCTCCCTCTGTCGCCCAGTCGCACCGCCAGCAGGCTGAGGGTAGCGGGAGGTAGCCACCCGAGCGCAGGCGACAGGACCCGACAGGACCAGCCGGACCCGAGCTGTCGCCGCCCTCACGCTCGGCCCGCTGTCCAGGTGAGGCTCTCCTCCGACCTTAGGGACCGATGCCGGCCTCCCCGCGAGCAGCCGGGGACCCCCTAGTCCTGGGCGGCGGGGGTTCCGCTGCCCTTTCCCACCGCCGCTCCCGGGTCTCTCCGAGGGGACTCGGCCCCGCACCCCCCCGAGGCCCAACCTCCCCGCGGCTCGCCCGGCTTCTCTCGCCGCCCCCGTCCTGTCTCTGGCTAGGGCTGCAGCAGCTTCTGCCCCGCCCCAGGACTAGGACCTTCTTGAATGTTCCATCCTGGGCAGCCTGCCTCCCTGTTGACTGGTGTCGCGCGCGGTGCCTGGTCCTTCCTACAAAGCTGAGGGAAGGCGAGGGCGGGCGGGGGTCTGGGTGGTCACAGCGGCAGATGGTTAGCATGTGGCCTCGGAGAAGGCTCGCGGCGCTTGCAAGCCGGGGCTGAGGCACCCCGCCTTTTTCTTTTTAACTTTTGCAAAGTGAAGCTGGGAAGTGGGACCTACTCAAAAGTTGGGAACAAGTTCAGTGACGCGTCGCGGTGCTACCTCAGCAGTTAGACATAGCCCGGGGGCTTGAGCTACTAGAGCGGAGAAGTTGCTGTCAGTCACACAGTTGGGGAAGCTGGCTTCTTCCTTCCTCTTCATCCCCGGGACTCATTTAAGGACTCGTGAATCCGTCTCTATCCCTCCCTTTCGTCCTTCTCTCCCCCTCCTCTCGTTTCGTTCACTCCCTTACCCCTTTCCGTCCTTCACCCCCTGACCCTCCCCTAGTAGGGTCGAAAAGTCAGTCCACTTCAGTCAAACCTTCCATGATTGTGTGAGCATTTTAATTTGAGTTTTGTGATTGCCCCCCAGATGAATGTTTAGTGTGTGTGTGTGTAGGTGTAGGGGGAGGAAGGATGGTACGATAAATAGGAGACTGTTTCAAGAATGGAAACTTCATACAAATGCAGTTTTTAGACTCCAGCATCTTAAGCGGACCGCACAGAATGAGGACTCTTGGATTTTTGCACCGTTGGTTATAGGGCAGGGTCTCCCAAAGAAAGAAGCGGAGAAGCTACTGGGTCCTCTTTTAGAACCTGGGAGAAAAGAAAATTAAAAGGAACTTGCCAGTTTTTTCAACTTAACTGTTCCTCCGAGAGCTGTGGCTCTTGGACTTTTCCTTGGAATGCGCTCTGGAGGGATGGACTAGCCGCTCCGTGAGCGGGGGAGGGGGGAGACGTGGCAGCAGTGTTCTTTCAGCGACTCTTTGCCTTTTTTTTTTTTTTTTAAGGTTGAGGGGGAAAAATATTTCCCTTCTCAGGTTTAGATGTAGCTTATGAATGGAGCTAGTCTTTTCCTAAAATAATCACGTTAAAAAAAAAGTCACGCCTGCTTAGTAGGAACATTGGAAATTAATTTTAAAATACATAAAAGGATTATTTTGATTATTTCTATGGAGAAGATAGATTTTTTTTTAAGCAGAGGGTAGTAAAGAAGCTCAAAGTGGCCACGCTTAAATTTGTCTTGATTTGAAATATGAATAGCGGTGATTTCTTTTTTTCCTCTCAACCTCTGATTTTTCTTTAACTTTGGTTTTAGCCTGAATGTCATTTCAGAGCCTTAAATATGAATTTGAAGTTTTACCTTTTTCTTTCTGTAGGAAGCATAGATTTTTTTTATTACTTTAAAAGGTCATGACACTTTGATTTTGGAATATTGTGTCTGATGTTTTTTGAGGACAAATGCCTTTTGGATTTCCAGGCTAAGGAAGGGACTCTATCTCCTCTAGGTGGGTAAAGCATTTCCATTGTGACACTGAGATGAGTTTTATTTTGAAATACTGGAAGCAGGAACTGTGATATAAAAGGATTGGGCAGTTTGTCGATTCATAACTTAGCTAGCAAAGTAGGTGAAAAATAGATACAACTTGTAATTATTATAAAAAATAAATATTGAAGGAAAAAGTTTTACATCAGCTGTGTATTATCACTGTTGCAGGTGAGCCTTATAGCTGTGGTAGAGAGATGCTATTTTTCCGTTGCTTCAACATGAGTTATATATCGACAAGCTGCATGGATTCATGGAGTAGCTAATTTAAAACATTTGCGTTGATGCCGGGTATGTGGTAGGAATTGGGACAGCCATAAAGTTTGTGAACCTTAGTTTCTATGGAAGGAATGCTTTGTTTTTAATGACTAACCTGGAGTGTAATTATTGTTCTTAGACTAGTCTGTGAGATCCAGAATGATTTTCAAACTATTTTGAGGCCATGAGACCCCTTGAAAGCCTGCAGGAAAGTGGGGGCCTAAATCAGGAAATACAAATATATGTATTTATATATAATTTTGTAAGCCATTTTGTCTTGTTTTTGTTTTTCGAAACAGGGTTTCTCTAGCTTTGGAGCCTGTCCTGGAACTAGCTCTTGTAGACCAGGCTGGCCTCGAACTCAGAGATCCGCCTGTCTCTGCCTCCTGAGTACTGGGATTAAAGGCGTGCGCCACCACTGCCTGGCTAGTTTTATATACCATTTCAGGCTCCCATCCATTAACTTTAAGAATTCCTAAAAAATAAAAGATGTGAAGCTACTATTCAAAAATATCTAGACTTCTTGAGCCAGACTTTCTTAATTATTTCAGAAAGTTGAGATGATCATATGTCAACTTCATTCAGGTATGTGGATGGTTCTAATAAACTTTTGCTGAAAGTGCTTTTAACAAATTAAGTTTTTAGAATTGAATTGCTGTGTTGTAAGTCAGTAAAAGTATGTCATATCTTGCCCTTCCTCTCTCCCAATATTGTAAACTTTGAAGGTGAAATAAGCATGAAGATAAGAAAAATAACTTGAACGGTCTCTGACATTTAACTTTATTGTCTTTTTGTGCTAAGATCTTAAATCTTACACTTAAACCATCTGTGGCACGTGTGTATAAACATGCATATGTGAGATAAGCCAAATAAAATGGTGCTTACATATGTGAAATCAGTTCAAATGTGTGTGTATATTCAGTGATATGTTTTTATATAAATTGGAGCTATCCTGTCATTAGTTTTCTTTTAGCCAGATAGATATGCCTGAATAAAAACCAAAAAATTAAAAAAGAGTCTCATAGAAATTTGAAGCAAATTCCTTTTCTTGTCTTCATTTGGATTTTCATTTGGATGCTCAGAATGACTGTTAGTATATTTGGCTGAATGTTGGCTAAAAATACAGTACTAAGATTCATGCTTCTTACATAACTATCATCAGAATAAATTCTGCCTTAGATTTCTTCTGATTCCTGTTTTTATAAATGTGTCCATGTTTTGGTGGCTTACAATTTTTTTAGTAATAGTAAATCAAATTAATATATCATCCTTCTGGTAGTGTACATTTGAGCAGTTATAAATAATATGAAGGGAAGACTTTAATTCCGTGCTTGTTTCATTTGTTTGGATGGTTGTATAACTTTGACTGGTTTTGTTTTTATCTCTGTAATTAATGTTTTTTTTAAAGATTTATTATTATGTATACAACATTCCTTCCATGTATGCTTGCATGCCGGAAGAGGGCGCCAGATCTCATTATAGATGGCTGTGAGCCACCATGTGGTTGCTGGGAATTGAACTCAGGACCTCTGGAAGAGCAGTCAGTGCTCTTAACCTCTGAGCCATCTCTCCAGCCCTGTAATTAATGTTTTAAGAAAGAGTCTCACAGTGGTAGCCCTGGTTGACCTGGAACTCCTCAGACTAAAAAGATCTGCCTGTGTCTGCCTCCTAAATGCTGGGATTAAAGGCATATGCCGCCATGCCCAGCCTTGTATTAGTCATTTTTCTGTTGTTATGACATACATACTATACAGTAAAGCTTAGTTTGTAAATTAGGCACACTAAGAAATTAACACCAATAGCTAAATAGAAAATAGAAATATGGTAGTATATCATAATAAAAGGTGTATTTATTATCTTTCAAAATATCTTATTGAATGTTACAGCTTTTTACTTACAGGGAAGTACTTTATGTCTTCTTTTTGCATATCTGAATTTCCAGCATCACTATATATGTTAAAAACTTCCAAGAAATTTTACTGCATTTATGGGGGTGTTTGTGCATGTGTGTCACATTTGTGCATAGTGTGGATGTGTAAGGTCACATAAAGAGGACAAATTTAAAGTTTTTTAAATTTAATTTTATTTTTTGTGTGAGTGTGTTTTAGGGTTTTTATTGCTGTGAAGAGACACCATGACTACAGCAACTTTTATAAGTGAAGACATTTACTTAGTTTCAGAGGTTCAGTCCATTATCATCATGGCAGGGAGCATGGCAGTGTGCAGGCAGATGTATTTCTGGCTACATCTTAGCTTGCAAGCAATAGGAAGTCAACTGAGACACTGGACCAGTGAGCATAGGAAACCTCAAAGCCCATCCCCAAACAGTCACACTTCTTCCAACAAGGTTACACCTCCTATTCCCTATAAGATTATGGGGGCCAGTTACATTCAGACTACCACAAAGTGTTTTGCCAAATTCTTTCCAGACCCTAGAGGACAAATTTTGGAAGTTGATTCTTTCTTTGTTCTATGTAGGGTCTTGATGGCAGTTGTCTTTGCTTACTGAGCCATCTTCCTAGTCCTACAGCTACAGCTATCTTTTTGAACCACAGTGGACCGTAGGTAACTGAAAACATAGAAAGTGGACCCAAGGAAAGAATATTGATTTTTTTTTTTTCTTTCAAGGCAGGAGTTCTCCTTTTAACCCTGGCTGCTCTTGAACTCAAGAGATCCACCTGCCTCTGCCTAACCAGTACTGGGATTAGAGGTGGGTGCCACCACTGCCTGGCAATACTGAATTTTTTTATGTATGCCCACAATAATTACAGAAATGGATTCTATAAGCAAATTGTTGGAAGAAGGTGCTTTTATAAAGACCCCAGAGAGAATAACTTTTAATAAATTAAGGTTTTAATCACTAGTTTTTTCATGTTATTCTACTTTTTCTGATTATACATTTATAAGATTCTTCACCTCAGTCCCTGATTTTATTGACCACAAATTCAGAT